AACATTCCCATGCCCGCTTCCGCTCCTGTTTCACTCCTCCCCCCGGCTATCCACAGTATTGGTTTGCGGTCGCCGTGCGCCTTATGCACTGGGGGAAATGGAAACTGGGACTCTGGAAAAGCGAATACCGAAAACCAAAGAGTCGAAAACGAAAAACGCTAACGGAAAACGTTCGACGGTTGGAGGTTCAGTCGAGCGAACCGGCGAGTCAAAAATTCTGGCCAACAACGCTCCTACCGCCTCCTAGCAACCCCTGAGGAATTACCTCCCTTCTCTTTTGAGCACTGGAAAAAATAACTTTGCGATTTAGTATTTTGAGATTTTTTTTTAGATAAGTTTAATGAAAATAAAATATAATTTTATGTAGAACCCTTATTACAAAGACCGAAAAACAAGATTCGATCACATTTAATAAAATAAAAAAAAAATGCTTAATTAAACATTCGCGCTTTGCGCGCTGCTGCCTACGTCACCAGTAAAATAGGGAGCTAGGCACAGAAAAAAATCTATGCCTTCAAACCATTAGCAAAAAATATTTCAATCAAAAAAATTATATCGATACTACTTTCTTTGATTTTTCTGTCAATATTGCATATTCTAATATGATAAAGTTGCTACTGTAATTTGTGGCAACCCTACAAAAATGGTATAAAAGGCAATGTCCAGGCTTAAAAATTTCAGTCTCGCTCGGGCGTCCCAAGGAGCTGTTTTCTCAATTTTTTTATTTAATTATTTTACTATTTTGTTTTTATATTTGTTTCCTTGTATTATAAAGATTTTTTTTCAACACAATTTTTATAAGTTATTGTAAGTTATTGTAAGTTCGGTCTTTGTTGAGAAGGTCACGTGTGGTGCTTGATGTTACTTCATTTTTCAATAAATTTGTGCATAATTTGGTTTTATACATTTTTCATTTTAGTTGGATTTTTATTTTTAGTTGAAATGTATAATCAAACTTTTTTTTTTATTTTCTACAATAAACTATATTTTATTTAATTAAACGCATCGAAAAAAAATGTCAAAAAATATTTCCCACCCAATTTTTCTATTTTTTTTCTTGTATTATTTTGATTTTTTTCAAAACAATTTTAGCTCTCTCAGTAAAAGACGACATTTTTATTTTTTTTAAATGTGATTGAATCTTGATTTTCGGTCTTTGTAATAAGGATTCTGCATTAAATTATATTTTATTTAAAAAGGATGCCAAAAAATTTTTTCCAATAAATTTTTTATATTTTTGTTTTTTTTACTATTGTATTTTTATATTTATTTTCTTGCATTATTTTAATTTTTTTTCAACACGATTTTTATAAGTTAAATGTGATGGCATCTCGATTGCTCTTCCCGTTGAATCGTTGGTATATTGATTTATTTTGTATTATAATATAAAAACATTTTTTTTTGTATTAACTGTGATTGAATCTGGATTTTTTGTTTTTTAAACTGGGATTTAAATTAAATTATATTTTATTCATTAAACGTATTTAAAAAAAATGCCGAAAAATTGTTCCCTTGTTTTTTTTTATTAAATGTGATTTAATTTTTATTTTCGGTTCTTGTTATAAGGATTTGATGGAATCTTGATTTTTCAATAAATTTGTGCATAATTTGGTTTTATACATTTATCATTTTAGTTAGATTTTTATTTTTAGTTGGAATGTTTAATTAAGCATTTTTTTTATTTTATTAAATGTGATCGAATCTTGTTTTTCGGTCTTTGTAATAAGGGTTCTACATAAAATTATATTTTATTTTCATTAAACTCATCTAAAAAAAATCTCAAAAATACTGAATCGCAAAGTTATTTTTTCCAGTGCTTAAAAGAGAAGGGAGGTAATAATTTTTTCTGTGCATAGCTCCTTATTTTACTGGTGACGTAGGCAGCGGCGCGCAAAGGCGAAAACCGCTCAGGCGTAAATTTCTGGCGACAGCCGCACCCCCTTCCCGGCGTCCGCTGTCCGTCGACTGCCTACCGCCGCCCCACGCTCACCGACCCTCGCCCCGCGATCCACCCTTGATGGCTTGGCGGGCTGTTTACACTGGCGAGCCTTGTCTAGCATAAAGTTACCTTCTTGGCTGCCATTTGGAGATTCATTTCGCCGAGTCTTAGGTACATATTCAATTTTATGCTTGGCATGTGCCGCCAAGGTAAACTTTGCCCCAGCGCCGTCTGCGGCAGATTCTGTATCTGATTCAGAATCAGATTCAGATACCGCTTTTGGGGGCAGACAGACAGAGACTCAGATGCCCCTGCTCGCTGATTACTTGACATATGTTGGAGCTGTATGCTTTGTTCGGCGGCGTGTAAACTGTTTTGGTTACTCTTCGCCAGCCACTTCCTCTCGATTTGGCTTCTTGGGGCTCGTCGAAGGTTAATTTCAGGCAATCTCTGGTCGTAAAGTTTTCGGAGCCGCCGTTTTTCGCCCCATTCACCTTCGAGGAGTCACGGTTCTGGCTCTGTGGAAACTTGACAGCTGTGTGATAAATGAAGCGCATGAACGACACAAAATGCAACAGAAGCAACAGTGGTAGTGGTAGTAGCAACATCAGAAGCTGCAGGACAAACAACAACAACAACGGGGGAAAATGGCAACAAGAAGCCAAGAAAACTACGTTGACCTAGGCCAAGAGCCCCTCAAGCTGGCCAAAAGCACCCACCCACCCCAGCAACCCTTCACAGTGTCATCCTCCTGCCAGCAAGTTTGTAACAAAATTTACTAATTTAATTTTAGCAATTTGGTTGAGTTTTTGCTTGCTCTTTTTCTTTACCCGCCAGGTTCCTTTTGCATATAGGGCAACCACCCCGTTTGCCCCATCCTTGGTGCTGGCACGCTACCCACCCCGTAGACGGGATGTTTGCAACGTGCTGCCCGTGGCACTTGCAACGTTTCGCGACTGTTGCAAGTGGCACGTTTCACGTGCTGAATACCGAAGCCACCAAAACAAACTACACAGGAGGAAAGTAATAGTTTTAAAATATTTATTATTTAAGGATAAGATTGATAATAACTATCAAAAATAATAATAACTTTAATGCTTTGCTTTATTTATTTTTTAATTCAAACCTTTTTATAAAATGGGGTTTTTTTCGGCAGTGCCTGTTAGCGTTGTCATCGCGCAACTAATGTTGCATTATTAAGTTTTGAACTTTGTTGTGAGGTGACATCGTGCATCCGGCCAACAACAACAAGTGCTGTGGAAACGGCAGCAGGAGCGACATCCTTTTGCTTCATTGCTCGGAAGATGCAGCTCAAGGTGTCAATGGCAGTGTGTGTGCCTGTGTCTTGTTAGATCATTAAGAGTCCATTAGTCATTAAGTACGCCGGTAAATGTCGTTGCAGCTGTTGCCACTACCACCCCACAGCCACCCAGCCGCCCAAATCGCTTGTTTTGAGCCGCCCTCGCCCTTTGGGATATATGAAATTCCATTTGATTTTAATGGAAAATTTGTTGGGTTAGCTGACACCTAAGATGTTGGCGTTTTTTGGGTCTCCTTCTACGCTACCAGCTTGGAAAATCTTGGCAGTTAATAGACACCTGACTGCCTCCGCTCATGCGGAAGGCCAGATAGCGACACGGTAGCGCACGATGGCTCATGTGAGTTGCTTGGCCCTATCTCCTCCGGGAAATGGGTTAACAGGCTATTCACCGGACTAAAAATTAGTTCGAGATAGAAAAACAGCCAACGAGATCATAAAAATCCCGGTTACTTTCAGTTACTTTAACGGTTTTACGACCATCGAAATGCGTGCGGGTCCCAAAACGGTTAATTAAACGTTGTCTCCTTAACAACAGGGTGTGTATGACCTACCCCGTGGTTGCGTGGGGGGTGGAAGCGGCACCGAAATCACTTGAGCGTGAAAACTAATTGTAGACCAGAATGAGCCAAGACGAGAGAACATTTTTCGTATTACCCACTCGAAAGAAGGTTGGATTCGAAACCAGCCAAGCGTTGGATGCGACATAATCACAACAGGCTGGAAAAAGAGGGAGGAGCAGTGGGGCAGCATGTGCCATCGAAAATCAGTAACAGAATTTTCCACAAAGACCAAATATAGATATCTTAGCATTTAACAAGGCTATTTGGAAATAAATCTATCTATTTGGAAAGGCTATTTGGTTTATTTTTATTCAACTAGTTTTATTATTTTAAAATTTAAATAGGTTTTACATGAACGATTTTTATTGTCATTGTTATAAATGTGGCTTATATAAATATGTACCGGATATCAATGGTTAAGACCACTACAATGGCCAACACAAACTATGAAAGGTTCTTGCTGCGATAAATGTATCTCAACATTTGCCAAACATCTGGCCAGCACCATGCTCAAACCGGCTTAAACCACTCATCAGCGAGATGGGCTTGAAAAAACGTAAACACAACATGTTCGAAGGCCCAGCTGGCTTAAACGCGTTGGCCTAGGTCGCTCGGCACCCACGCAACAACCCGATCCGAACCCGAGCTCAGTTTCAGTTTTTATCGTTCCAGCTGCGTCCCATTTCTCTCGCTAGGTCTGTTCGGAAAGTATCTCAACATGTTACCAGCTATATGGCGAAATGTGGCTAATATCAGGCAACACGCTCATGCCCCAAAATCACTGAAGACCAAGTTTAAATAAATCATAAATTTTGAAGCAAATCCCAAAACATTGTTATGATATTAAACCATCTATATGATTATAGATTATATTAATGCCTAAGAAATCTGTGAATTTGAAAAATATGTGGTTACAATTTTAAAAATAAAAGAACTAAATTGTGTTGTTCTAGGATTTCTCTAAAGAATAAACAGGATAGAACTGTTTATTCTTTAGAGAATCCAGTTGACTTCGGAAAGATCTTTTGCGATGCTGTTGCTGCTGTTAATGTTGCTGGTGTACATGTTGCTGCTGCTCATGTTGCAGCTACCCATGTTGCTGCTGTTCATGTTGCTGCTGTACAAGTTACTGCCTCGGCTTGGCTTTTCCGGCCCAATTCCAGTCAGTTCAAATCGGAACATCGTGCGGATCGGATGGATAGCTGTTGTTGCGTCGGGTCTTTTAAAGACATTGTGACTTGTAAACGGTGACTTGTAAACGGTGATAAAGTGACCCGGTGACTCGGTGTATCTGTATCGGCAAGCAAAGATTTGTGGCAACAGAGACTGTTGCACCCGGAATGGCATAATATTGATAAAGGTATGGCCCCAGGCCCGAGAAAACAAAGTGGTTTAGACGGTGTTTTTTATTTAAATTTTTAAGCAACGCGACTGACGGATTCCGGATGGTTTTGTTGCATTTCTATAATCCGGTGTGCTGCCAAGTGCTTTACATATATCCCCATATCTCGGATGTTTGTGTGTGTTTGTGGAGGTGCCGGGAAATACTTTGACACACTTTTACTTCGTGCACAACTCCCGGCCATCGGTTATGGCGTGTCCTCGAAAAAGTTACAACTACAGTAAAAAAGTAAAGGCAGCGAGGACCCAAGGAACAAGGACGGGGCAAATCTCGGCCGGGAGAGCAAGAAACTGTTGTTGTCATTGTCGTCGTCCTCGTAGTCGTCGTTCGCCTTTGGCTCATCAATAAAAGTTTCCTTGACATTTTATGAGCCAGAGGATTTCGAGCTCGCTTTACTTACTCCTTTCGCAGGATGGCCAATATATTAAATGCGACAACGGATTAAACGCTCGGGTGCCCTTTTTATGCCCGCTTATATTTATGGACAATTATTTAAAAAATTGTCATTCCCCGGACTGAAAGTTCACACACATTTATGGTCTGTGAATGTTTTATGGGATCGCCCAAGGAGTCCTTGAGGCGTTCTTGAAGCCTGCTTCGAAGTTATCCCTTTCCCAGCGCCAAATTTAATTAAGCCTCTCCGCGATTGTTTATAAATTCATGTTAATGATATTTGGACAGCCGGAGGAAAGTGTTTCTCGCCCTCATCGGGGCCCAGCCGAAAAGTATCTCCAATTACGTGGAATCGTTGGGCGCGAATTCCGCTGCCAAACTTGTGAGAATTTTCCGCTAATTGTTTTCTGTCGAGGAGCAGTTCTCAATCGTCGCCAGCTGCGCGGCAAAGGACCTTCATTCTGGGAGCCTGGCTGGCGGCTCCCCCTCGGTTTTGATATGCAAATGGCCTTAAATTCCACACTCGAATTCAAATGGAATTGCCTCAAAGTTTTTGTTTGCCCCCCACATCCTGCAACAAACAGTTTTTGGGGGGCGGCACGTGCGCCGCAGTCGTTTAATTTTAAATGCCAAACATTTTTATTAATGGTTATTGCCGTGAGTGGCAAAAGTGGAGTTCAGTCGGTGTAATAATCGAAAATTGTTTTGGCATTAGAGACGAGCTGAAACGAGTGTTTCAAAACTTAAAGTCACCAGTGTGAGAGCGTGGGAATTTATTCCATGGCTGAGATTGAACCATCAGGCACCAGGCCGCGCATCAAACAGACATTCATTTAAATATTTTGACAAACTTTGACGACATTTCGCGCAATTTCAAAGCAATGTGTGTGATCCATCCTTGTTCCTGCTGCCGTTCCACTTCAACATCGCCAGCACATCCTAAAAGGATGTGCGAGATTGTGAGTTGGCCCCCGCATTTATATCAATTTCTTTATTCCTCACGGCTTTCCACTGCCAGCCGCCTGCATTTTGGCATTTTGGCAGTGGGGAATTCTCCTCTTTTTTCGGGGGCCAGAGCTGGTCTAGGAAATTTATGTACGCGTTTTATGGCTACGTGGCTCGTAAATAAGAAAAATGTTGCAGCACCGCCAGGATATCGGGGTTTTATCTTTCGCACACATGGTGGCAAGTTGGGGGGAGGTCTTCCACCTCCGCAGAGGCCTTTAGTTTGCCGCTCCTTCTGCGCCCCAATCAGCATTTGATTTGAAAATGGCAAAAGAAAATTATTTCATATATCACATGACACTCGGCTCAAATAACTGCCTCGATGGCACATTTAATATTTGATTTGTTTATTTGATTTCGTTGCCACAGCTTTCCTTGACAGATGAATCCGTCCAGGCTTAGGGTTTATAGAAAATTCAATTAAGAATGTTTTGTAAACCAAATTGGTTGTTCCACTCCAGCTTAAAGAAAGTAAAATTGCATAAGAACTAATTTTAAAAATTTGAAATTGAATACATTTGGCTAAGAAAGGGGAGATGTGTGGGAGGCGAAGCGAAACACACGCATACTTTTAATACAGATGTGTGTGCAGAGGTGCAGAGGGGCATGCAACACAAAAAAAAAAGAGAATGATTAAAGGAGAGTCTTAAAAAGCTTATAGAGAGGTAAAGGCAAAAAAAAAATATTGAGTTGATAAATTTATTAAAAATTGAAAAATATAAAAATATTCTACAAGCCCCCAAACAAAAACTCACTTCTACAATGTTTTTCATGAATCAGGGGTGTGATGGTCTGAAGTTTAGAGCCCAAACTTTAGCTTTTTTTTATTATTTTTGTTGTTTAGAGTGGACCTAAACAAAGCCTAGTTCGTTAAACTTGCCCGTTTATATCGCACACACATGCAGATTTCACCTTTTGTTGTTGCCGTGACTAGCCAAGCAGAACGCCACAGTCGGCGTCGGCATTTCGTTGGATTTTATTTAGTTTTCGGTACAGTTTGAATGTGTATATGCATGAGTATGAGTGTGTTGCAAGTTTTGGAAAGCCAACTGAAATTTCCACCCCACCTGGTGGTGGTGGTGCTGCTGCTGCAACGGCCTAATGTTGCATCAATAAATGGACCTGCAGAACAGACCCTCCCTCCGACCCACAACCCTCATGGCCTTTTCTTGTTTTGTGAACCAAATTTGAATATTAAAACAGAATTAGCCAAGTGCAGCAAGTGGCTGCCCTCCCACTAGGTCTTTCTAAAGTTCACCGGAAACGGAAATGTGCTAGTGGCCGGGGGCTGGAAGGGGCAATAGAGTGGTGGCAACGGTTGCATGCAAAACAGGGGCAATTAATGGGAATTATTGATATACTCGGACGTGCCGACTCCGAAGGCAGGTCCTTGCATCAGAAACTGTCCTAGTCTGGTTGGAAGTTTTCCTTGAATTACTGTCGCACTTTTGATTTTCTTTGAATGCGGTCAAAGGGCTCTTCTCGGAAGCCAATTGCAATGTCTTTGATTTTCGTGGAAAATTATGGCAATTAAATTGCTGTTTAGTTGGCTCCTGCTATAGGGCAGCAGGACACCCCATCAATTTGCATAACAAGGGCAATATGGGCAATCGGAAATCGTTCTCTGATCCACTTGCTCTAATGAGCCACTCCACCTCGGCGGTGGTGTTGAAATCCAATAATTGGAAATCTGAACTAGCCACCGTGAAGAGATTGCAAAAACAAACAACCAAACACAGGCGTTCAGCAAAGCCAAACAGCAAAACGGCTAAAACAAGAACAAGTAATCGAGCCAAATGAAAAACAGAAAATACCAGCAACGGAAAAAAAAAGTGAGCAACACTAGCTCCCGTAACTGCTAGAATGGCACCTGCCACAGCGTCTGTGGCTAAAATTTCAAATTTTCATTTAGAAAAACACCACAGCCAGATGCAAATAAAAACAAATTTGTGTGTGTGGCCGTGCGGCAGCTGCATGCGCAACTTTTCCATTGTACTCCCAGTTTATTTTGTATATTGCTCATATTTTTGTCGAATTTTTCGCTTCACCCCCACAGCGATTACCGATTCCGCCTCGCCATCCACAACTTTTCATTTTGAATATTTGTTTTTATTTGGATTCTTTTTCTACCACTAGGCACAAATTAATTAAATGCACTCGACTGTGATTTATGCGCTCCTGAGAGCTATAGGGAGTTTGGGTTTGGAGATCATTCCCAGACCCAGTCCCAGTCCCATAAAAGATAAGCCTGCCACAGTAGCTGTTGCAATTAGGCAGAATATCGAGTAGGGGCGGTGGAGTTTCCACTTGAAGCTAATGTGAAAACCATTACGACTCACCGCGGGCGGGCAATGATCTTGCTTCATGGGTCTGGCATTTAAAAGCCAAATCCACTTAAGATTAACTTATCACAACGCTGCTTCTTTGTTGGTCTTAATGGTGGCTTTATACTCTTGGGAGTATGGTAATCATACATATATTGTTGTTTTCACTTTTCATATACATTATATTTTAAAACAGCATCAATCCAACATCTAAGTGAGTATTTTTAGAAATATTAATTTAAATCTGTAGAAATCTAAATTGATTAATTTGTTTAATGAAATCAGATATTTAAGACTGATTGACGGGTATACTTTAAGTCGAGCTTTTACCCTTTATGGCTATGGCTTTTGTTTAAGGCCATCAAATTCGAGTTGGAGTCAAATGTCTAATAATTTTCAGCTTAAAAATTCATTAGATACAAATCGCCGAACCCATATCAAAAGCCCCAAAGCCACAATGGGCCACTGAGAGAGTCCGAAATGATTTACTCGCCCAGTTGAGATGGAAGGCTTTGTCCGACCCTGACTCGCATCTCCTGGCTAATTTCGCACTAATTGATTTCTTTTTGGGCCAAGATGAGAAGTCGAAAGAGGCTTTAATTGAGCGACTCCGCCTCCCTCCTTGGACGGCTGTCAAATGTTTTCTTCCGAGCCTGACACGCGCTGACAGTTGGGCACGGCATAGTTTTTGTTGCTGGGTGTCTCGGTTTCGGTTACGGCCTTTATGTTTGTGTCTGTCTCTGGCAAATCGAAAACTAAGCGCAGTCAAAGTCTCATTAGCTGATGACTTGGATGCCCGCGCCACGCCCCATTCCCCAACGGCTCCCCAGCCTCATGTAGTTCCGCCTCTGATTGGGTTTTAATGCGTTTTGGCAGCCGAACATTGTCCACGATTCGTTTACAGAAGTTTCATAATTTGTCGCTGCCCCTGATTGATGGGCCGCCGCGATCCCCCTCCCAGCTGGCTTTCCGCCTGCTTATAGTTTGTCATCTTTGGGCCATTATCCAAAATGATGTGGCCTAAGCTCCCAGAGATTCCGATCTTCAGCTAGACGCTTTCACATTTACCACGCGCAATTTGCCACGCACTGCGAATGCGGAGGCACGTGTTGCAGAAACGCCTCCAGTTCGACCCTTGAACTGTGGAAGATTGCCAGGGCCTACACTCAGAGAACATGTGTGCTTGTTACTGAATAACTCAACAGGTATTACCCCCAGTGCCCTCTGCCATCGAAC